AAGACTTCTAAAGTATTCTTCAGTGTTGAGTATGTAACCAAGGCTTCTAAGGTATTCTTCAGTGTTGAGTATGTGACCTTGGCTTTCTAAGGTATTCTTCAGTGTTGAGTATGTAACCAAGGCTTTCTAAGGTATTCTTCAGTGTTGAGTATGTAACCAAGGCTTTCTAAGGTATTCTTCAGTGTTGAGTATGTAACCAAGGCTTTCTAAGGTATTCTTCAGTGTTGAGTATGTCACCAAGACTTTCTAAGGTATTCTTCAGTGTTGAGTATGTGACCTAGGCTTTCTAAGGTATTCTTCAGTGTTGAGTATGTAACCAAGGCTTTCTAAGGTATTCTTCATTGTTGAGTATGTAACCAAGGCTTTCTAACGTATTCTTCAGTGTTGAGTATGTAACCAAGACTTTCTAAAGTATTCTTCAGTGTTGAGTATGTAACCAAGGCTTTCTAAGGTATTCTTCAGTGTTGAGTATGTAACCAAGGCTTTCTAAGGTATTCTTCAGTGTTGAGTATGTAACCAAGGCTTTCTAAGATATTCTTCAGTGTTGAGTATGTCACCAAGGCTTCTAAGGTATTCTTCAGTGTTGAGTATGTCACCAAGGCTTCTAAGGTATTCTTCAGTGTTGAGTATGTGACCTAGGCTTTCTAAGGTATTCTTCAGTGTTGAGTATGTAACCAAGGCTTTCTAAGGTATTCTTCAGTGTTGAGTATGTAACCAAGACTTTTTAAAGTATTCTTCAGTGTTGAGTATGTAACCAAGGCTTTCTAAGATATTCTTCAGTGTTGAGTATGTAACCAAGGCTTTCTAAGGTATTCTTCAGTGTTGAGTATGTAACCAAGGCTTTCTAAGGTATTCTTCAGTGTTGAGTATGTAACCAAGGCTTCTAAAGTATTCTTCAGTGTTGAGTATGTAACCAAGGCTTCTAAGGTATTCTTCAGTGTTGAGTATGTGACCTTGGCTTTCTAAGGTATTCTTCAGTGTTGAGTATGTAACCAAGGCTTTCTAAGGTATTCTTCAGTGTTGAGTATGTAACCAAGGCTTCTAAGGTATTCTTCAGTGTTGAGTATGTAGCCAAGGCTTTCTAAGGTATTCTTCAGTGTTGAGTATGTGACCAAGGCTTTCTAATGTATTCTTCAGTGTTGAGTATGTAACCAAGGCTTCTAAGGTATTCTTCAGTGTTGAGTATGTAACCAAGGCTTTCTAAGGTATTCTTCAGTGTTGAGTATGTAACCAAGGCTTTCTAAGGTATTCTTCAGTGTTGAGTATGTAACCAAGGCTTCTAAGGTATTCTTCAGTGTTGAGTATGTCACCAAGGCTTTCTAAGGTATTCTTCAGTGTTGAGTATGTAACCAAGGCTTTCTAAGGTATTCTTCAGTGTTGAGTATGTAACCAAGGCTTTCTAAGGTATTCTTCAGTGTTGAGTATGTAACCAAGGCTTTCTAACGTATTCTTCAGTGTTGAGTATGTAACCAAGGCTTTCTAAGGTATTCTTCAGTGTTGAGTATGTAACCAAGGCTTTCTAAGGTATTCTTCAGTGTTGAGTATGTAACCAAGGCTTTCTAAGGTATTCTTCAGTGTTGAGTATGTAACCAAGGCTTTCTAAGGTATTCTTTGAGTATGTAACCAAGGCTTCTAGTATGTGATATGTCACCAAGGCTTTCTAAGGTATTCTTGCAGCTTTACAGTGGTAGGAATTCAAACTACGTTGAGATGTAGGCTAATGTTTGACGAGTTATCTTTGAAACAAAAAATTTACTTAAAGTTAAAATATTTTTCAGGTTTCAAGAGATCTGTAAAAATTAATTGAATTGTGAATGGATTTAAAACAAACCCATAAGGGTCAGTGCATCAAAACATTTTAAAAGATTAAAGTAAAATAGAGTGAATACAAAGAGCCAGATAGTAGATTTTCACTTCCAACAGTATACCTCCTAACCAAGGTTCTAAGATGTTGTCCTTATTGTCATTAATCTTTCTCAAATTTCATGTTTATGTTTCCCTTGATCCTGTTTGATTTTGGTACTGATCAGAAAAAACAAAGGGCCCAAAAGCAGCCATTTTGGATCTTTACTTTGAAAGTTTCTTAATGCTATTTCTTAAAAAACACAGTATAGATCTTTCTCAGATTTCACGTATAGGTTCCTCTTGGTTACCAGTTGTGCCTGTTTGAATTTAGGACTGATCAGAAAAACAAAATGGCCAACAGACACCCATTTTGGATTTCGCCTACTAAAGATTGTTATTCCTATTTCTTAAGAAGTACTAAATGGATATTTCTCAAATTTCATACCTGTATTCCCTTTGGTCTCTGCTTGTGTCCTTTTGATTTTGGGACTGATCAAAAGAAACAGAATGGCCTCCAGGTGGCCTTTTTGATTTGGCAGGTAAAGATTATCATCACAATTTCTGTAATAGAATGTTCAGATGTCTTATCATTAGGAGCAAAATCAGAGCAAATAAAAGTCAAACAATGGTGGGTACCAAGATCTAACAATGGTGGGTACCAAGATCAAACAATGGTGGGTACCAAGATCAAACAATGGTGGGTGCCAAGATCAAACAATGGTGGGTGCCAAGATCAAACAATGGTGGGTGCCAAGATCAAACAATGGTGGGTGCCAAGATCTAACCATGGTGGGTGCCAAGATCAAACAATGGTGGGTACCAAGATCAAACAATGGTGGGTACCAAGATCAAACAATGGTGGGTGCCAAGATCAAACAATGGTGGGTACCAAGATCAAACAATGTTGGGTGCCAAGATCTAACAATGGTGGGTGCCAAGATCAAACAATGGTGGGTGCCAAGATCAAACAATGGTGGGTGCCAAGATCTAACCATGGTGGGTGCCAAGATCTAACCATGGTGGGTGCCAAGATCTAACAATGGTGGGTGCCAAGATCAAACAATGGTGGATGCCAAGATCAAACAATGGTGGGTGCCAAGATCTAACAATGGTGGGTACCAAGATCAAACAATGGTGGGTGCCAAGATCAAACAATGGTGGGTGCCAAGATCAAACAATGGTGGGTGCCAAGATCAAACAATGTTAGGTGCCAAGATCAAACAATGTTGGGTGCCAAGATCTAACAATGGTGGGTACCAAGATCAAACAATGGTGGGTGCCAAGATCAAACAATGGTGGGTGCCAAGATCAAACAATGGTGGGTGCCAAGATCAAACAATGGTGGGTGCCAAGATCAAACAATGTTGGGTGCCAAGATCAAACAATGTTGGGTGCCAAGATCAAACAATGGTGGGTGCCAAGATCAAACAATGTTGGGTACCAAGATCAAACAATGGTGGGTGCCAAGATCAAACAATGTTGGGTGCCAAGATCAAACAATGGTGGGTGCCAAGATCAAACAATGTTGGGTGCCAAGCTCAAACAATGTTGGGTGCCAAGATCAAACAATGTTGGGTGCCAAGATCAAACAATGGTGGGTGCCAAGATCAAACAATGGTGGGTGCCAAGATCAAACAATGGTGGGTGCCAAGATCAAACAATGGTGGGTGCCAAGATCTAACAATGGTGGGTGCCAAGATCTAACCATGGTGGGGTGCCAAGATCTAACCATGGTGGGTGCCAAGATCTAACAATGGTGGGTGCCAAGATCTAACAATGGTGGGTGCCAAGATCAAACAATGGTGGGTGCCAAGATCAAACAATGGTGGGGTGCCAAGATCAAACAATGGTGGGTGCCAAGATCAAACAATGGTGGGTGCCAAGATCTAACAATGGTGGGTGCCAAGATCTAACCATGGTGGGTGCCAAGATCTAACCATGGTGGGTGCCAAGATCTAACAATGGTGGGTGCCAAGATCTAACAATGGTGGGTGCCAAGATCAAACAATGGTGGGTGCCAAGATCAAACAATGGTGGGTGCCAAGATCTAACAATGGTGGGTGCCAAGATCAAACAATGGTGGGTGCCAAGATCAAACAATGGTGGGGTGCCAAGATCTAACCATGGTGGGTGCCAAGATCTAACAATGGTGGGTGCCAAGATCAAACAATGTTGGGTGCCAAGATCTAACAATGGTGGGTGCCAAGATCTAACCATGGTGGGTGCCAAGATCTTACAATGGTGGGTGCCAAGATCTAACAATGATGGGTGCCAAGATCAAACAATGGTGGGTGCCAAGATCAAACAATGGTGGGTGCCAAGATCCCTCTGGGATTTCTTGTTGATGTTCCACTAGCAAGAACTCAAATATATATTACCAGCATTTCCCCAAAAATTTTGTCTGAATGGAATGACATTTCTTGTCCCACAGTGTCATCATTTAGTGCAATTAAAAAAAATGTCTTATTTCAACTTTTTACAGTTGCCAAACACCAGTGCATTTTGTTTTTGAAAATTAATGGAGACAGTTAAGAAATTTTGTAAGTGACTTCAATGCCAATTTATTCAATTCCCACTTAACAAATAGCCCTGTCTGTATCTGTGGTCATCCAGTTGAAGATGACCACAGGTCTTTCTTCATTGTCCTGTTTTCACTACAACTCCATTTTACTTCTCTTTCTCCTCAAGTTCTGCCAGTGGGATTGAGCTCAAATTTGCATGAAACTATCCTGGGATGGTCCTGATCTAGTGTTGTCATTTTTCGAGCATGTCTGAAATCTAAGATGGCTGCCATGGCCACCATCTTGAAAAACATTTTAAACTTCTTTTCAAGTTCTGCTGGTGCCATTGAGCTACAAATTGTTTAGAATGTTAAGGAAAGGTAGCAAACGAAGGGTTATTTTTCGACTGTGTCTAGACTTTAATATAGCAGCCAGAGAGGCCATTTTGTAACATGATTGCGCAAGCATGGTTTTCCTATGCAAGATCTATTTCAAACTTCGCAAGTTTAACCAGTTGGATTGAGCTGCAACTTTACTGTCAAAAAGAGAGGTAACACATACATACAGCTAATCAGGAAATATTGAGGTAGATAGATGAACCAGAGCTTTGTGTTTTAGAGTTAATGACAACAAATTGTTGTTTTGTTTCTGCAGAATCAAGGATGCCCAGATGAGAGTTAGACAGTTGCAGGAGGGTAAAAAGGTGGCCATCTCCACACAAATTAGGACACGCTCAAAGAAACCTGGAGGATTAGTAAGTACACTTAACTTCAGCTTGACACGCTTCAAATATTGACTGAAATAAGAAAATCTTAACTCAGTGAGACCTTCTCCAAATGTAGACTAAATTATGTATTTATAAACATAGTGACTCAGTGAGACCTTCTCCAAACGTAGACTAAATTATGTATTTATAAACATAGTGACTCAGTGAGACCTTCTCCAAATGTAGACTAAATTATGTATTTATAAACATAGTGACTCAGTGAGACCTTCTCCAAATGTAGACTAAATTATGTATTTATAAACATAGTGACTCAGTGAGACCTTCTCCAAATGTAGACTAAATTATGTATTTTATAAACATAGTGACTCTGTGAGACATTCTCCAAACTTAGTTACATTTGGTGTCAGGAGTCTTTACCTGGTTGAACTGATTGGGTTGCTTCCTCTCTACAGACAGGAGTACTTTAAGTATAATCTTATTGGCAAAGGGATGGTAAGGAGCTGGACCGATGGGGCTACACCCTCTGTCTTGTCCTAATGAAGGGACAGACACTGGGGCTATGGGCTCCGTCAGATATACACTCATGCCCTAACCATGTTAAGGAATGAGTAAATTTTTAGTGGCTGGCCCTGACCAGTCAGTCTGGCTCCAATGGTATCACTCCGCACCTTTCATTTCTACTAAATCTGAGGCTGGCACTTGTTTTAGCAAGTGTAAGAGTAATGACCAGATTAATTGGGTATTATGTTTACTTTAGAGCGAAGGGATTTTACATTTTTTGTACATGTTCAACACAACAGACATCTATTTCCATCTGATATAAAAGACAACTCACTGTACATTAATGCTATTTCATGATAACCTTTCTTTTCGTTTGCTGAATTTTTGTACTTTTCCTTTGCACGGAGAACTTCAAATAGAATTAAAACTTCATAAAATCTCAGGAATAGAAGCAGTTCCTGAGAAATCTATCTATAGGCTGTTCTATATTTCCTTGTGCGGTGCCACAGTTCTGATAGTGTGGCTACGTTCACTGAGAGAATATTTTGGAAAGTTTTTGGCTCTATAATTATACCCCACTTGACATTTATTGCATTCTAAGTGTTTAATGTCTCAGCATGTTTAAATTTTAGATTAAACTATTAACATTATAGCTATCATTTTAAAATTGAAGAGTTTATCTCAGACACACTTCCAATGGGTTCTGCAAGTGTCTGCCTTCTCGCCAAGATTAACATTTTCCCCTGTCCGCTAGGATTGTAATATATGTGACCATTGCCTCCACACCTAGCAGATAGGGATGGAGCCTTAATTATTGTATACACACTTTAACAGGTTGCAATCAAGTGGTTTAAGGCAGATGTAGGTGATCAGCTAGACTTGAAAATATGCTGTCAACATGATAAATGTTTTGACTTTTTGAGATGAAAACAATTAAATTTTGTGTTTTCTGCTAAGGATATATTGAGGAGTCCTTCTCTGTTAGTCTTATCTATAAGCATTATAAGTCTGGTTTGGTCTCTACATGAAGAATGAGTTTTTATTGACGACAAAGATCTATAATGGAAGTGCTTTTTCCATTCTTTGAAACAAGGTTTTGTCTACATGATTGATGTCAGGAAGATGGGATGGGGTATCATATTTAATGTAAGAAAAGAGAACATTTGGGAAATGGTTTGGTAGATTTGTATAATCTTAAACCTTGTATATCATAACAAAAGTAAACAACTGGTCACACACAGGTAGCATAGTTCAATGAAATTTTCTATAAAAATTTGCTACATAGAGTGTTGTTTTTGTACTATTTTGAGTTACATATCAAGTGAGCAGTGTGTTGGTGAGGGTATGTATATAATGTTATATATCAAGTGAGCAGTGTGTTGGTGAGGGTATGTATATAATGTTACATATCAAGTGAGCAGTGTGTTGGTGAGGGTATGTATATAATGTTATATATCAAGTGAGCAGTGTGTTGGTGAGGGTATGTATATAATGTTACATATCAAGTGAGCAGTGTGTTGGTGAGGGTATGTATATAATGTTACATATCAAGTGAGCAGTGTGTTGGTGAGGATATGTATATAATGTTATATATCAAGTGAGCAGTGTGTTGGTGAGGGTATGTATATAATGTTACATATCAAGTGAGCAGTGTGTTGGTGAGGGTATGTATATAATGTTACATATCAAGTGAGCGGTGTGTTGGTGAGGGTATGTATATAATGTTTACAGGCTGGTACTGTGTAGTGATTGTGGCATCTTAGATGTTAGTACATTGTAGTTAAACTGTATATATACAAACCAGCCACTGTATGAAGAGTGAACTTCACTTAGATGTTAGTACATTGTAGTTAAACTGTATATATACAAACCAGCCACTGTATGAAGAGTGAACTTCACGTAATATAGATACAAGTGATGAATCGTCATACTGCCATAAAAAAATAGGTAAAGGTATGTTACAAAGAAGTTGTTTTTAGTTTCTCTTTGTGTAAGTGATCAGAATTGATAAAGAATGAGTATTTTTGGGGTGAAGGAGTTACATTGTGTAAGTGAGAAGGAATAAGGCCTATTGGACTTCTGGTTTGTATCATATCTACATTATGTTTACAAGTAACATAGCTCAAAAGATTTCATCTCCTGGATACATCATATTTATGACAAAGGCAGGGAGATAAGCTAGAAGGAGAATGAAGTAAGAAATTTCCTTAGTAAAAGGCCAGGGGATAATAATCAGTGTACAAGAGTGGGGGTAAAAGGTCAGGACATAATAATCAGTGTACAAGAGTGGGGAAAATACCAAAATATAGAGAAAGGGTTACAACATACAGGGGAGGGGTAGGACTAGTGGTAGGGATCAATTCTGTCCATAAGAGGTATGGGGATATCGTATTAGGAGGGTGATAGTTGGGTTGATGTTTTGTGTGTTAGAGGTATAGGGTTAGGTAAAAAGTACCAGATTGGGATTGTTTTTTCTATGTAAGATATATATGGAGACAGTAAGGATTTATCTATGTAAGATATATATGGAGACAGTAGGGATTGTTTTTCTATGTAAGATATATATGGAGACAGTAAGGATTGTTTTTTCTATGTAAGATATATATGGAGACAGTAGGGATTGTTTTTTCTATGTAAGATATATATGGAGACAGTAAGGATTTATCTATGTAAAATATATATGGAGACAGTAGGGATTGTTTTTCTATGTAAGATATATATGGAGACAGTAAGGATTGTTTTTTCTATGTAAGATATATATGGAGACAGTAAGGATTGTTTTTTCTATGTAAGATATATATGGAGACAGTAAGGATTTATCTATGTAAGATATATATAGGGAGACAGTTTTTCTATGTAAGATATATATGGAGACAGTAAGGATTTATCTATGTAAGATATATATGGAGACAGTAAGGTTTTATCTATGTAAGATATATATGGAGACAATAGGGATTGTTTTTTCTTTGTAAGATATATATGGAGACAGTAGGGATTGTTTTTTCTATGTAAGATATATATGGAGACAGTAAGGATTGTTTTTTCTATGTAAGATATATATGGAGACAGTAAGGATTTATCTATGTAAGATATATATGGAGACAGTAGGGATTGTTTTTTCTATGTAAGATATATATGGAGACAGTAGGGATTGTTTTTCTATGTAAGATTTATATTGAGACAGTAGGGATTGTTTTTTCTATGTAAGATATATATGGAGACAGTAGGGATTGTTTTTTCTATGTAAGATATATATGGAGACAGTAAGGATTTATCTATGTAAGATATATATGGAGACAGTAGGGATTGTTTTTCTATGTAAGATATATATGGAGACAGTAAGGATTTATCTATGTAAGATATATATGGAGACAGTAGGGATTGTTTTTTCTATGTAAGATATATATGGAGACAGTAGGGATTGATTGTTTTTTCTATGTAAGATATATATGGAGACAGTAGGGATTGTTTTTTCTATGTAAGATATATATGGAGACAGTAGGGATTGTTTTTCCTATGTAAGATATATATGGAGACAGTAGGGATTTATCTATGTAAGATATATATGGAGACAGTAGGGATTGTTTTTCTATGTAAGATATATATGGAGACAGTAAGGATTTATCTATGTAAGATATATATGGAGACAGTAAGGATTTATCTATGTAAGATTTATCTATGTAAGATATATATGGAGACAATAGGGATTGTTTTTTCTTTGTAAGATATATATGGAGACAGTAGGGTTTGTTTTTTCTATGTAAGATATATATGGAGACAGTAGGGATTGTTTTTTCTATGTAAGATATATAATTGGAGACAGTAGGAATTGTTTGTGAGATGTGAAGGGACTGGGAAGAAGACTAGAATGAAGACCGTGGGGGGTAGATGTATAAGTATGTACTCTGTGTTGTTTATTCTCTACATATACCCACTTGTCCGTTTACTTCCAGTGTACCAGTATGCCCCCTGTGTGGGTTGTCCTATTTACCGGGTGGGCAGTGTAGATAAAGATGTAGACAACTTTTATAATTTTACCTGAGTCAAAGAGTTTGTTGTAGATATGTTAAGAGATATTATAGCTAATGACTTAAATGTTACTGTCAGTGTTGCCTGGTGTAGTGTCTGTGTGGCTCGCTGGGTACACACCATACCTGTCATACCGACTTGTACGTGGCGGTGATAATATGGATAGTACACCAACACAATGTACCTAGTTCTCTGATGGGTTGACTTGGTGGCCAGATATCGCCGCCAATCCTTGCTTTGATGTAGTACCACCGTAGGAAATGCTACATACCTCCACGGAACCAGGCCTTTTGATTACTGTAGATACATTTAAACACATATGGAAACACTGAAGTATTCCTGCTGTTTGTAATCACTTCTCTACAAGATTTTTATTGCCAATATTTCTCCAATTTTTCATCCATTAACCCTTAAAACTAATCTGTAGGATTACTTGTTGATGAAATAGGAATACTTCAATTATGTTTTCATCAGTATAGATAGTCTAGAAATTAAAGCCATGGTTTTTACTATTTGATTTTAGTGACACAACTTGTAATTAGTTTGGTTATAACAGTGTGAATTGTAGAATTGTGCTGATAAATGATATTTCCTCTCATCTCGAGTTGTAAACCTTAAAAATCTGTCTTTATTTGAGATAAACTGTATCACCTGAAACTAAGTATTAAGACAGGAATCAAAATTTTGAAATGGTAACTGGTTTTTGTTCTTGTAGTTACTTAGTAAACCATATTGAGCTGCCAGACTCAGAAGTAGATATTAGTTATAATTAAATACCAGGGTTATACCTATAAATCCAATCAGACATACACATTCACAGAAGCCTAGGATGACGTAATATGCTGTTGTAACACTTTCTAACATGCTTATCATTTCCATCAACATTAATAGTTAGCTGGTAATATAATATTTGACTACAGGTGTGTGTATTACCTGGTAATATAATACCTAACTACAGGTGTGTGTATTACCTGGTAATATAATACCTAACTACAGGTGTGTGTATCATCTGGTAATATAATAACTGACTACAGGTGTGTGTATTACCTGGTAATATAATACCTAACTACAGGTGTGTGTATTACAAGGTAATATAATACCTAACTACAGGTGTGTGTATTACCTGGTAATATGATACCTGACTACAGGTGTGTGTATTACCTGGTAACATAATAATTGACTACAGGTGTATGTATTACCTGGTAATATAATAACTGACTACAGATGTGTGTAGTACCTGGTGATATAATACCTAACTACAGGTGTGTTTATTACCTGGTAATATGATACCTAACTACAGGTGTGTGTATTACCTGGTGATATGATACCTAACTACAGGTGTGTGTATTACAAGGTAATATAATACCTAACTACAGGTGTGTGTATTACCTGGTAATATGATACCTGACTACAGGTGTGTGTATTACCTGGTAATATAATAATTGACTACAGGTGTATGTATTACCTGGTAATATAATAACTGACTACAGGTGTGTGTATTACCTGGTAATATAATACCTGACTACAGGTGTGTGTTTTCCCTGGTAATATAATACCTGACTACAAGTTTGTGTATTACAAGGTAATATAATACCTGACTCCAGGTGTGTGTATTACCTGGTAATATAATACCTGACTACAGGTGTGTGTATTACCTGGTAATATAATACCTGACTACAGGTGTGTGTATTACCTGGTAATATAATACCTAACTACAGGTGTGTGTATTACCTGGTAATATAATACCTGACTACAGGTGTGTTTATTACCTGGTAATATAATACCTGACTACAGGTGTGTGTATTACCTGGTAATATAATACCTGACTACAGGTGTGTGTATTACCTGGTAATATAATACCTGACTACAGGTGTGTTTATTACCTGGTAATATAATACCTGACTACAGGTGTGTGCACAGATTTTCCATGATTGACTACCTGGTTATTTTGCATTTGAACACTCTAGTTGTGTGCAGGTTTTGTGGCATCTGACCAGAGATAAAGATATCACTTTCAAAGCAAAAGCAATTTATAAATCCTTCAGTTTTACTGGGGCTTTCATGGCCTGTATGGAAAGGCAAATTAAGCTATAGCAGTAAATTTTCTGGAGTAAATTGAATGTATTTTGTATAATAATTGGATGAAGAAATTGTTATCATGATTTTCACCACAGAGGCCCCAGGAATAACCCTGTGATGGGTTGTGGTTAAGGGATCAACACTGACACCTTTGACCATTCTCATTGTGTTCATATATACTACATGTGTATTTTCTGATGTGTATGACTTTATGATATGTCTAATGTAAGAGATATGTTTGTATATTTCAGAAAGACCGACTTGCCAGTAAGGGGATGCTGTAGACCCTGCCATATTTTGTTGGAGCTTGATTGGCGCACTATAGGATAATCATACATTGCAATATACCTATGTCTCTGTCTCCACAAGTGGTCCCAAATTGTGTGGTGCCACAAAAGTTGGTGACAACTGGTTCAGCAAGAGGAAAGTAGTTACGCACTTAGCTATGGATCCTATTTGTGATCTGACTAAAGGGCGCACATCGGACCACGCCCTGATGTCTGTCTTCCATATTGTGCCAGTAATTTGGTGTCTGCTTGGATTGACTGTGTTATGTGGATGGTATCCATGTAGCATTGTTGTTATTCATGCTCAGATTTTGTATTTCACTGCTGGAGTCATTGTCATTGAAGTTCAGACTGGGAAGTCAGGAAGGGTGTGCTCCGTAACATTTTTCCATCATGAAACAATTTGCATAATGCTAGTTTTGATATGGATGTGATCTGGACTGGACATTACGTGGTCAGCTTACAGGTAGTGTAGGTCAGAAGGGTGACCACTGAAACGCTAGTGTCCTTGCCAGAATTGTCTTTCAAGGTTGTGTATTACAAGTAAATCATGTGTTCATGTAGAAATCTCAAGGTGACCTCTCACTACAGTTTATGAATCATAGTGGGAAGTGGTATTATACAAACATGTCGTAGTTTTCATTAGAATTGATTCTTGTTTACTATTTTTACTATTGTTTCTTTTTACTATTTGTATTATAGCTACACCTTGTCAAAGACAAATTGCGTTGTGATATAACAAAGATATTATGAAGATTGACCTTGACTGGTATCAGTTATCTGCCCTTGGTAAAATAGGCGATGCTTTTAAGTGCTATCACTGTTTCTATGTTTGTACCATGTTCCCTCTGTTCTGGTGAATCAATCACCATGTGCTTTCAAATAGGAGATGATGAATAGTGACCCAGCAGATAGGAGACATCAAACCCTTCAGAAATGTGAAGTCACTGATTGTATTGTACATATGTAATTGTTTAATGGGGGGTACCTGTGAGCTTGTAGTCTATCACTCCACAGATGATGTACATACAGGCTGTTAGAGAAGTCAAGATAATCATCATGCATCATGATTATTTCCACATAAAACTTTCTTAAAGAAAGTCTGACTGGGTAGGAGTTCAAGTTGAATTGCATTGAAATCTTAGAGAGAAGGGATCTCTGTATCATTATGGCTTTGGAACAAGATCTGAATATACACAGGAATACAGACCAACAGTAATCTGTAACTTATGTGTGGACTAGAACAATTATTTACAATTATTATCCTTCTGAAATCTCTATTAAGCTTAGTTTATTTTCATCTGTTTTACAAAAGGTGGGCATATCACCAGCACAAAGGTGGACTTATCAATACCAAGTCTGGGCCTAGTCTTTAGATAAGATATGTAACAAAATTGGGCTTATGACTAAGTCTCGGTCTAGTCTGTTGTTAAAATATATAACATATGTGGGCTTATCATGGTACAATGTAGTGAGAAAAAACAACAATTTACATGGAGAAACTGTTGGGTTACAAGTGACTCATCACTCGGAGGAACTGTTGGGTTACAGGTGACTTCACTTTGAGGTACTGTTGGGCAACAGGTGACTCATCACTTTGAGAAAACTGTTGGGTTACAGGTGACTCATCACTCAGAGTAACTGTTGAGATACAAGTAACTTATCACTTGGAGTAACTGTTGGGTTACAGGTGACTCATTATGTGGAGTAACTGTTGGGTCGCAGGTAACTCATCACTTTGAGGTACTTTTGGGTTACAGGTGACTCATCACTCAGAGTAACTGTTGAGATACAAGTGACTCATCACTTTGAGGTACTTTTGGGTTACAGGTGACTCATCACTCAGAGTAACTGTTGAGATACAAGTGACTCATTATTTGGAGTAACTGTTGGGTTATAGGTGACTCATCACTTGGAGTAACTGTTGGGTTGCAGGTGACTTGTCACCTCCTGTGTTTATCTGTTATTTCTTCCCATGTTTAACAGTTCAACCTTTAACAGATAACCTTTATGTGTTATTGATCTAGCATTTATTGATAACTACCAGTTTTGGGGAGAAAACATTTGTCACATCTAATAGGAATTTTAGGTACTAACATCATTCTGATGACATTGCTGCCATCTGTAACTCCAATCAGAGCAGTGCTGTCATGTTTAAAATTTGCTGCTTATATTACTTCACATTCCATATTAACCATCTTATGCAAAACCAATTTTTACTGCAATTTTATTGTTAAATGTTTACATTGCAAGTTCTTTATTTTGTTTTTTATGCTTGCTGAAATTGATCAACATTTTTGTGATTCAAAAGCACACCATTCCAACCAAATCATATGTGTGTGACTGGTTTTATATACCAATGTCAAGCTACCTTGGCTGCAGAGACTACTGTACCAGGTCTATGTTATCTCTGAGGCTGTAGTGTACAAGGTTTATGTTATCTCTGAGGCTGTAGTGTACAAGGTTTATGTTATCTCTGAGGCTGTAGTGTACCAGGTCTATATTATCTCTGAGGCTGTAGTGTACAAGGTCTATATTATCTCTGAGGCTGTAGTGTACCAGGTCTATGTTATCTCTGAGGCTGTAGTGTACCAGGTCTATGTTATCTCTGAGGCTGTAGTGTACCAGGTCTATGTTATCTCTGAGGCTGTAGTGTACCAGGTCTATGTTATCTCTGAGGCTGTACTGCACAAGGTCTATGTTATCTCTGAGGCTGTAGTGTACCAGGTCTATGTTATCTCTGAGGCTGTAGTGTACCAGGTCTATATTATCTCTGAGGCTGTAGTGTACAAGGTTTATGTTATCTCTGAGGCTGTAGTGTACCAGGTCTATGTTATCTCTGAGGCTGTAGTGTACCAGGTCTATGTTATCTCTGAGGCTGTACTGCACAAGGTCTATGTTATCTCTGAGGCTGTAGTGTACCAGGTCTATGTTATCTCTGAGGCTGTAGTGTACCAGGTCTATGTTATCTCTGAGGCTGTAGTGTACCAGGTCTATGTTATCTCTGAGGCTGTACTGCACAAGGTCTATGTTATCTCTGAGGCTGTAGTGTACCAGGTCTATGTTATCTCTGAGGCTGTAGTGTACAAGGTTTATGATATCTCTGAGGCTGTAGTGTACAAGGTTTATGATATCTCTGAGGCTGTAGTGTACAAGGTTTATGTTATCTCTGAGGCTGTAGTGTACAAGGTTCTGAGGCTGTATGTACAAGGTCTCTGAGGCTGTAGTGTACAAGGTTTATGTTATCTCTGAGGCTGTAGTGTACAAGGTTTATGTTATCTCTGAGGCTGTAGTGTACAAGGTTTATGATATCTCTGAGGCTGTAGTGTACAAGGTTTATGTTATCTCTGAGGCTGTAGTGTACAAGGTTTATGTTATCTCTGAGGCTGTAGTGTACAAGGTTTATGTTATCTCTGAGGCTGTAGTGTACAAGGTTTATGATATCTCTGAGGCTGTAGTGTACAAGGTTTATGATATCTCTGAGGCTGTAGTGTACCAGGTCTATGTTATCTCTGAGGCTGTAGTGTACAAGGTCTATGTTATCTCTGAGGCTGTAGTGTACAAGGTTTATGTTATCTCTGAGGCTGTAGTGTACCAGGTCTATGTTATCTCTGAGGCTGTAGTGTACAAGGTTTATGATATCTCTGAGGCTGTAGTGTACAAGGTTTATGATATCTCTGAGGCTGTAGTGTACAAGGTTTATGTTATCTCTGAGGCTGTAGTGTACAAGGTCTATATTATCTCTGAGGCTGTAGTGTACCAGGTCTATGTTATCTCTGAGGCTGTAGTGTACAAGGTTTATGTTATCTCTGAGGCTGTAGTGTACAAGGTCTATGTTATCTCTGAGGCTGTAGTGTACCAGGTCTATGTTATCTCTGAGGCTGTAGTGTACAAGGTTTATGTTATCTCTGAGGCTGTAGTGTACAAGGTCTATGTTATCTCTGAGGCTGTAGTGTACCAGGTTTATGTTATCTCTGAGGCTGTAGTGTACAAGGTTTATGTTATCTCTGAGGCTGTAGTGTACCAGGTCTATGTTATCTCTGAGGCTGTAGTGTACAAGGTTTATGTTATCTCTGAGGCTGTAGTGTACCAGGTCTATGTTATCTCTGAGGCTGTAGTGTACAAGGTCTATGTTATCTCTGAGGCTGTAGTGTACCAGGTCTATGTTATCTCTGAGGCTGTAGTGTACCAGGTCTATGATATCTCTGAGGCTGTAGTGTACCAGGTCTATGATATCTCTGAGGCTGTAGTGTACCAGGTCTATGATATCTCTGAGGCTGTAGTGTACCAGGTCTATGATATCTCTGAGGCTGTAGTGTACCAGGTCTATGTTATCTCTGAGGCTGTAGTGTACCAGGTCTATGTTATCTCTGAGGCTGTAGTGTACCAGGTCTATGTTATCTCTGAGGCTGTAGTGTACCAGGTCTATGATATCTCTGAGGCTGTAGTGTACCAGGTCTATGATATCTCTGAGGCTGTAGTGTACCAGGTCTATGTTATCTCTGAGGCTGTAGTGTACCAGGTCTATGTTATCTCTGAGGCTGTAGTGTACCAGGTCTATGTTATCTCTGAGGCTGTAGTGTACCAGGTCTATGTTATCTCTGAGGCTGTAGTGTACCAGGTCTATGTTATCTCTGAGGCTGTAGTGTACAAGGTTTATGATATCTCTGAGGCTGTAGTGTACAAGGTTTATGATATCTCTGAGCTGTAGTGTACCATCTATGTTATCTCTGAGGCTGTAGTGTACAAGGTCTATGTTATCTCTGAGGCTGTAGTGTACAAGGTTTATAATATCTCTGAGGCTGTAGTGTACAAGGTTTATGATATCTCTGAGGCTGTAGTGTACCAGGTCTATGTTATCTCTGAGGCTGTAGTGTACCAGGTCTATGTTATCTCTGAGGATGTATTGTACAAGGTTCATGATATCTCTGAGGCTGTAGTGTACCAGGTCTCTGATATCTCTGAGGCTGTAGTGTCCAGGTCTATGTTATCTCTGAGGCTGTAGTGTACCAGGTTTATATCTCTGAGGCT